ACCTTATTTTGTTGTTGATAAACCTATAAACAAACAACTTATGATTCAATTAAAATCAAAAACATAAATTTTTACATGAAAAATAATTTCTAATTTCATGATAATAATTTTCCAATAAAAATCACTATTACTACTAGTATATAGATGATGTAGAGATGACGAGCTGAAATTATTGTGGTATAAAGATGTGAAACCACTCTGTTAATCATCAAAGTAGTCTTCCCTACTACCGAACCGTTTATTTGTTTCAAAGCAATTTAAAATTACTGAAAATTCTTTATTAATGAAGAGTAAGTATTAATAAGATTCAATGACCTGGATTGTGGAAGGTTGACCAAACAGGCAATGCAGTGAAAATACATAGTTTAACTCGTCAAGAGAAAACCGGCATGATTTTGCATAACGTGGAATAGTATTATCATTAGTATTTGTTTGAACAACAATACTGAAATAATAGTTATTATATTTGTGGAAGGCTCAAGAATGAATGGTTATTGCCAATGTTGGCATATTTTTTAAATCCTCTGAAAACTTCACTTTCTACTCTTTCTCCATTCATTGGTGAGAAAATCTATTCTTGGTTTCTTAATCATTACTACCTTAGCATAATCAATAAATTCGAAACAATAACTGAACAAGTAACTCTAACTAGTGTAGCAATAGATTGAGCACAGTTAGTGTAAGAATATTATTGACAAATAATTCAAACCGAATGGAACAGTTGTTTAGAAGACAATTTTGAACAAACACTAATGACCAAACTCCAACAATTAGGAAATCTGAAAAAACTTAAAGACAATTTCGAAAAACATATTACTAATAAATTGAATACTCTTTTAACAACCAAAAAGTATTTAGAGGAAGAAATGTATTAGAAAATTATCAAGAAACAACATAAAAACAAGGTCTAGCAAAATAAATGACTTAATTTTAACCAAATCGGAAGTTCTTTCAATTTCTCCAAATAAAATACAACTTGATTTATTGGATTTTTGAGATTTGTGATTTGATGTAATATAATAGGTAACAAAGTTTACCTTTAAAGAACCATTTGAACAAGCGAAAATTGAATAAATAGTGGCTTCATTTAAGAAGGCTGTAATTTAATAATCAAAAAAAACAAATTAACAATAATTAACAATATGATTCAATTAAATGAATCCAGCAATCAATATCTTCATTGTATTGAATTTCATATCGGTGAAATATTTGAAGGCTTTGAAATCTGCATATTTCTTTATGTTTTAATGGTTTTACAAGAAAGTTTGGAACAAGAGAAATCAAATAGTAATAACCTTTTTGGGATTCAATTTTATTTGAAAAATCGTTCAAATGTTCATGTGAATAGAATAATCCATGTTATAACATTACAAATCTTCTTCACTTTACCAATATGATTCATTTGTTTCAAGTTTAAGGATTTTTTACATGTTAGATCAATACTTTGAAAATAATTCTTTCTTTCTTCCATATTATAAAAATCCTTAATATCATTTTGATCAAGTGATTCATTATTACCATCACTATCAATGGACTGTGTTATATACGAAACAATCCCGTATAAAAAATTATTCAGTAATATTCGGTCGCATCATTCTTCCATTTGCAAAAAATATCTTTGTACACACCGATTCCCGCTAAATTATTTTGATGATAATTTTAACAATTTTTTCGTCAAATTTTAACGTATCAGATTGCAAAATTATGAAATAAAGTTTATTGAAAAATTTTAAAAATTGATGCTTAAAGCATAATAAAATCGTCAACAAGTGTTGGGAGAAAAATTCCAAATTAACGCGCAATTGACGTCAAGAATTATCGTCAATTCTTAATGATTTATTATCAATTTTTGACGTCAAAAATTGATAATAAATTGATAATGTTTTGTATCAAATATTGATGAAAAAACATCAATAATTACGTCAAAAAATTCATAATAATTATTGTCAATTATTGACTAAATTCCAGCAATTATTTACTCCAAAATCTTGTAAAATTTCCAAGTTCCAAACTCATCTATTATTAGATCCACTTCCATTCCAAATTTCCAACCGAAAAAAATATCTACACTCCTCATCCTCACTCCAACTGATGAAATATCACTCACCTCTTCAGTTACATTCAAAATTAATGATAATAAATCAAAATTACTTACATTGTTTTCTGTTCAAAATCTGTTGCTTGCATATAAATCGTGCTGTTTAGCACAAATTGAATTATAACAAATTACCTAATTTCTTGTGATGAATAATTTTGATGATCCGTAGCAGGTAAAATCATATAATATGAAAATAATACAACAAACCAATTTCGAAGAATAAAATCTTTATAAATCCAACTAACAACAATAATTAAAAAATTAAGAAATTAAGAAATTTAAATACAACAAACCAATAAACAATAAAACTCCGCCAACAATTATCGTATTAACAAATTAATGATACTATTCAATATTTAATG